CAGAAATATAGATTCTGAGTTTGATATGAGCTTAATATGTAAAAGCACTGCATTTGCTTTTTTATATTTGGAACCATGATGTGTAACCATGTTGTGGCAACATAATATAGCTTTAACAGCTGTTATTACAACTCAGCATCATGAATATAAATGAGAAAACCCATCACAGGCTACAGGAAGGATGATTCAAATGTATTTCACAGTTTTGAGAAAGATGAATAAAAGGGGCTGCTGTGATATTTTATATTGATATTTACATGCAAAAGTGGGTCACTCCTTCACAGTCACACAGAGCGCAAAATTGCTGTCCACTAGCAGCAGTGTATCCTCCATGACCCTGTCAAACCAAATGTGTGTTTGAGTGTGTGAATTATGTATGTGTGTGAACCAGAGGGAGAGAGACGGGGAGGAGAAATGTAGGGCACAGTGATGCTCAGACCCAGAATACACACACACACACACACACACACACACAAAGACACGTACCTCAGATGAGTTTGTGGAGAACAAACTGTACCTTCTGCATAATCAAATAATGTGTGACACAAATAAAATGCACAGGCACGCACACACAATAGACCGGCTACCATCTGTGTCATCAAATATTATGATAACCCAAACATACATAGTCAGACACACACACACACACACACTGAGTGCAATTCAAAGGTGAGTGCACATCTCTGCAGTATTATCTGTGACTCAACTCTGCCTCCTAGTGGTACATTTGACACATTGCAGGGATCCCATTTGAGGGATATTCATGTATAAAAACCTTTTCCTTGGTTTTACCCTTATATGTGCAGACATTCAAGCCAAATCTTTGTAGAGACTGTTAACTGTTGCATAGACCAATACATTTTTGACAGGACATTTTAGTGAGGCTGACAGCTAGATTACTGCTAGAGAAAAACACAGGCCAGAAGCCAGAAGGTAAACAACAACCCAGTCTGATTCCATGAAAGTTGGCTCTCTAAAAGTAGGAAGAGTAGGGTCTCTAAAACCTACAATAAAGCATGCCTCAGTCAGCACATTCAAATCAGCAAGTATTTGGGGTTTCATTTGATAGTTCAGTTCAGTTTAGCAAGATCTCAGAGGATTTTACACCCTGGCAAACACAAACGATGGTGAAAATGATGTCCAGAACACTGGCACAAAATATCAGCAAACAGCAAACATTGAAAACAGCTTTAAGGTTCAACAAGCGATCCAATAAACATCTGTCCCCCGCATGTGGCTGTCGACAAGGTGTCAAACTATGCCAACAAATTTTGTTATTACATTTGTGGTGTTACATAAAACATAACTGGGTGTCAAAAATACAGTTTAAATAAAGTCTGTTATCTTAATATACAAACACATTTAAATATATGAGTATGCAGGAATATGTCACAGACCTGTGCGTGGAAGATGGAAAGGGACTTTGCTGTGTGTAGCGGGATGAGAACCCGAACCAGGAACTGCTTGTGTTCAGCCTTCAGGGGCAGAGCGAATCCATTTATGATGCTGGAGGATATAAGAGGAGAGGAAAGTTACACGTAAACCCTCTGTGGCATGTGCACTCTTTTTTGATCAAGTTTGCTTTCTTCTTGCCAAAAACAAAAACATTGTGTTTGTCAGTTAGAATATGTCAAAAATATTGGAAATGATTATGAGAGTATTGATGAGTTTAAAGGACCAGTGTGTAGGATTTCGGGGGATCAATTAGCAGAAATGGAATATAATCACAGCTATGTTTTTTAAATTAGTGTATAATCAACTGTTGCCACCATGTTTCTGTTTTCAACTGCCATACATACACTACCAAACACTGACTCTAGCGTTTTGTAGCCACCGTGGTTGCTCATTTGCACTTGGAAGGGGAGGGTGAAGCGATCTGTTGCAAACTGCAACTACACCGCTAGATGCCACTAAATCCCACACACTGGTCCTCTAAAGCTGCATCTACTTGAATTTCAATGTCAAGTAATCTTTTAATTATTGTTTCAGTGCATCAATTAATGTCTTAAAATGCAATAAAATGTCCCAAACCAAAAGATCTAACTGATGTGAAACAGAAAAGCGGCAAATCAATTTTGCATTCATGGCACTGAAACAATGACAACATCACATACTACTCCTAAAGTCTACCATTCACATCTGTGTAAGCGATTGCATTCATCTGTGTGTCTGTGTTTGTGTGTCTGTGTGTACTGTGTCCATTTCCAAGTGACTGGACAAACGCGTGGTGTGCTCTGTTGACTACCACACTGACTGAGATATAGGGAGTTCAGCCCCCACAGGGACGAGTATAAGCAGCGGAGGAGTGGGAACTAAACTTGGAAGCACTCATTTAGCAGCACTCTGAGCTGTTTGTCAGTTTGTATGTTTATCTGTTTGTCTCTGTATCAGTCTACCTGTCTGTCTGCCTTCATTTTATATATATATATAATTTGTTTCATATAACATTCCTTCAATATCTCCCTCCTGCTGTTCCTCTAATCTGTCTTTCTGCCTCCCTCTCACCCCTTTTTCTGAATACTTCTGTCTTCTCCCTCTCTCTCTCTCTTTCTGTACAATGCATCATCCCTCTCCCATCTCTCTCTCCCTGTCTCTGTGTGTGGGAGGAGCTATAAATACCTCTGTTACCACCAACATGAATACAAACCTCTCTCTCCTCTCCTGCTCTCCCTCCATTTCTGACTCACTGTTCACTCACTCATCCTCGCTCCATCTCCTTGTATGCCTCTATCTCTCATCCCTCCCTCCCTTCCTCCTTCTGTTTCTCACCTTGGATTCATTCTCTCCCCTTCCTCTCTTTTCTCCACGTTAACCCATAGTTCTCAAACTTCAAAAGTCATCGTCCCTTTTCTATTTAACACTTTAGCCAGGAGAAACGTGATTATGGGAAGAAGAAAGACGAAAGGATTCCGATTTTGTATGAATCTCTTTGTCTTTCATGTTGGTAAAAACTACAGAAACGATAGCGTCTAACTCCTGCATTCAGACACACCGCTCCAGTCTCCCTCAGTCTCTTTGACTCCAGCCCTCTTTTCAACTTTCTTCACTTTCTGCTAAGTTTAACATCAGTAAAGATTATTTAAAGGCCCTCCTGTCTTATTAGTGTCGAATCATGAAAGACAAAGACAGGCCTCAAGCTAGAGTCCAGCCACCACAAATCATTTGAGAAAAATTTATATTTATCTAATCTGTCTAATATTGATTTGTATGTTTGCTTTCAGATTTTCCGTCCTCCATCTTTTGTTTATTCTCCTTCCTCTTCCATCTCTCCATGTCTCGATCTTTCAGCACTATCAACATGTTTGTGTTTATGTAAGCTAACGGAAGTATGTCAACGTAATGTCATTGTTAGTTTCTCTGTCTCAAACCTGAGCAAGGAGGAGTCCCAAGACTGAAACTGTAAATGCTCTCTCCTTCTTGCATAACGAGCCACTGCCTACCTAGCCTGCTAACTAGCTAGGTTGTTATGTAGCTTGGATAATTACTCACCATCAAGTAAACAGCAGCAGCTACCTGGTTATCACACTTACCTCTGTAGTGTTTTGAGTTTTAAAATGTTCCAGAAAGAGTGTGAGAAGAGAAAAAACACTTTGTGGCTATCAGGAGCAAGTTAAAACTGTTAATACTTGCTGTTAACTTTAGTGCTGAGTAATAATCCAAGCTCAGACAAACTTCAGTCTGTCTCTTTGAATACAGGGCAAGTCTCTTCCACTTCATCTGTGTATAACATCAATTAAAATGATCTAAAGGCATAATAGTGTTAATATTTGATTCCAGACACTAGGACTGCCTTGAGAGAAAAGTAAATTATTTTTTTTTGGGGGGGGGATAAATTCAGTACATGGTGTACAGCAGAAATTGTATTTCTATTGGTATAGAATATGCCGACCAACACCAACACCCCTTCTTCCAGTCTTTTTCTAAGTTAAGCTAAGATAGCCACATCCTGACTCCAGCTCAGTAATGCACAGACAGGTTCATAATGAACTATTCCTTTAACATTATTTTGCATACAGAGGAACACAAGATAGACGATATCACCAATCATGTTTGTATTCATCCTCCATTTTCTCCCTGCCTTTCTTTCTCTTTATTACTGTCATCTTTCCATTCTTGTTCCCATTGATTTGTGTGCGAGCACAGGCAGAGAGCAAGGCATGTTTGTTTATCACTTTAGCTTCCTTCCTTGCTCTCTCTTCATTTCTATCCTCCTCATGTTTCTCTTACTGGCCTCAGAGACAAAGCAACAAACTACGTAAACCACTGAGTCATTTCTCATTTATGTCTTTAACTCCCCCGTCTTCTTTCTGTCTCTCCCTCCTGTCCCCCCCGCCTTATATCACATTTCTTACTCCGTCAGACTTCATCCACAGTTGTGTTTACCCTGTAGGAGGGAGCATTAACGATTAATGAAAAATAAATGGATATTGTTTTTTGTGTGAGCAGTTGCAGTAGTGGTTATGCTTTGTCGCCATATTTCGTAGTTGCTTAATTCACTGGGTTACCAGCTGTCTCATAAATCTGAGCAGCTGGCCAAGTACAGTATGTGTATATGTAAGTGTGTGTGTGTGTGTGTGTGTGTGTGTCTGTTCACACTCCACTCCAAATGCATTCATTAGACCATGGTATACTATAAAGTATGCTTTCCTCCAGAGAAGCAGAGTGTGCTTCCAAAGTGTGTCTGCGTGATTGTGGATACAAACCTGCCGAGGATTTCCAGAAGCTCTGCGACTCCGTTGAAGTGCTCAGTTTCATATATGAACCTGGAGACACAAAAAAAAACACACACACACACACACATACATGTAATGAGGCATCAGTAGATCATCAACTGTTTCAAGTTTAATAAAAGTGAAAGCAACTAAAAGAAGGACTGTAATTCTAGAAATAGTAAAACATATTCTTAACTTCCTGTAATATTCCTGCCTTTCCTAGAAAATGTATTAATATCTTGATGTACCATGTCTGAAATACAACTCTGTTACCTCTGTGGTGATATCATGTGAGAGAGAAATAAAGCACAATAACAGTTTTATGCTTTTATTGTATCTTTTAGCTGCCAAAATACTGAAACCAGTTAACTGAGACAGAAATAGAGCGCGTTGCAGCGCTGCAACTCTCACATGCTTGAATTATATTGCAAACACAACAATTCAGCCACACTTGGTGAAGGGAAAAGATGAAACATGATCTTGTTAGTCAGAGCTGTTTAACCAATCATTTGAGGAGATTTGTGTCACAACTACACAACTATCAGGACAGATGTAGGATGGCTGATTCAGCGAGTGTTATGACGGCAAATGTGCACAGTCATGTTTGTGCACGCCTTGTGCCTGTTTGCTTGCATGTGTGGCAGAATACTACAAACGTCAGTCTGAAAATATTACCTGTAGCATTTTGTGTTTAGACAACATGTACCTGGCAACCCTGGTACTACTTGTCACAATAAGGATGTCGTTACTTGTCATGTTGTTTATGCCGCATTCACATCATATTGTACAGACTGTAATTACAAACAGTTGTGTGGGAAAACTATTAAAGTCAGCCTCCTATATGTAGTTCAGATCAGGTCAGCAAAGAACTAAAACAGCATCAACAAATTGGTGACCAAATGACTGCATCGCCACACAAAAACCCAAATATTAACAGTAGCACTGAAGCAGCTAATCAAAAAGGAGCTTAAGCTGTTTGTGTCTGCTTTCACTTAAAGAACCACTTCAAATATGTAACACGATTTTAAAAAAAGAGCTCATTTAGTCTTATATAAATGCATCCTAAATATGCATCGTGATGACTTGTTTAAAGTTGTGAACAAATGTCCCTTTTTTGTGCTGTAAAATCATCATTATTTGTTCTCGTGACTCACCAAGCTAAATAAAATGCATTGCAGGGGTCATAAACACAGCTGTTCTCCCTGCTGATGGTCTTTGTTGGCTAATGTTTGATTTACTGATGTTAAAATGCTATAAATAGCGCCTTTAAATCCTGTGCACTGGATTGGTGGAAGGCAGCCCGTACCTGAGGAAGATGTTGTTGATCTGTTTGCGGATATAGGCTCGGAGGCCCAGTAGTTTTCCATAGACACGGTGCAGGATGGTCTTTAGGTACTCCCTCTCCCTGGGGTCTTCACTGTCAAACAGCTCCAGCAGCTACACACAGATAATTACATACACAAGTACAGTATGCTTTTAACATGAGTCTTGTGAGCACCTTTTCTGACTAGATTCATTCTCTAACTTCCTCACTCCTAAATGCAATCCCTAAGCATACAACAGCTCCTCCAGGAGTATTTGTCTCATTTCTTTCTCTTATTTCATGCTCATAGAAATATACTTTTACCACCCTCACACGCTGAATTAATATTACATTAGCTGTTTTTTCCTCATCCATTTCTAAAATAAAGCAGGATTTTAACATAAAAGTTGCACCACTGTAGAACTGTCTTTGAGTCAATTTTTTATACGTGCCCCAACCTAGATAACAAAATTAGAGAGCACTTCGGCAAAGATATTAAAGAGGTGCTTCATTTATTTATACGTTTCCATTTATCAGGATTTTGGAAACATCTTGGATTTGACAAAATGGAGGGAGGAGGATTACCTGCAGGACAAACTTCTGGTCGACGTAGCGTTTGGCCATGGAGGGCTGGAAGTCAGGGCTCTCCAGGAAACGCAGAAAGAACTCATACACCAGCTAACGGAGGCACAAACAGCAAGCAATTAGACGTCATTTAACGCATCTGTGTTTGTCTCCTAAAGGAATAGTTGAACATTTTGGGATTTGTTAATTTTCTTGTAGAGAGTTAGATGAAAAGATCGACACCACTCTCACGTCTGTACGATAACTATGTAGCTAAAGCCAGCAGCCGATTAGCTTCGTTTAGCACAAAGATTGCTTGTACACAAATCAGTTAGAAGATGGCACAAGAACGAAAAGATGACTGTGATAAAGAGAAAGAGTGCAAGAGAATAAAATAATGAACATGAACAATTCTTCTATTATTCTCACATTTGTAAGCAAAGTTATGCTAAAGGAATTGTTCAATTAGTAAGTTTATTTCTTCTCTCAGTGTGAAGTTGGAGTGGTAGCCTCTAGCTAGTTGGTGTGTTTAGCTTAGCTTAACGGTTTCAGTTTTCATACGAAAGAAATAAATTAGTTAAAATATATTAATTTGTTGGTTTGGAGGTGCTAGCAGGCAGATTTTTTTAATTTTTAGACACAGCTAGCATTTTCCCCCGTTCTGGACTTAATGCTAAGCTAAGCTAACAGGCTGTAAGCTGTGTTCTTATATTGAGCAGGCAGATACAAAAGTAGTTTTAATTTAATTTAATTTAATTTAATTTAAGATTTAATTTCATGAGACAGTTTGGACGTACATTTTGACTCAGAAGTGACTGTACACCACCCCAAATGTCATCTGGACAAACATCACAAGTCTATTTAAGAGATGTGATGCTCTTCTTTGCTAGACTTCCATTTGGTGATTCAGGCTGATAAATCAAGTACATTTTGTCAGAACTTGCTTCAAACAGCAGATTTAACTGATCTAGCGGACCTCGGGCTCAGGTACTGCATGTTTATGTGCAGATAAATGCTGAACGTTACATTAAAAGCAACACCTGGTGGGAGTTGTGTGCATTATGGCATTGTCCGCTCTCTCAAATATAGTATATAATCCATAGTAGGGCCCATTCTTCATGGTACTTACTGACACTGCATTGTGTTTAGCTTTACTAACAAAGCAAATACATCACAACATTTCCCACACCGTTTTCTTTTGGCAGATGTTTTGCTGAACATATCTTTCTTTCCCATCTTTCTTTCTTTTTTGTCATTTTCTCCCTTTTGGGAAATTTTATAATGTAAATTATGTGAATTGTCAGAATAAGGTCATATGGTGATTTTTGTATGTATAATGCACCTGCAGATGCGGCCAGGAGGCTTCGAGTGTCGGCTCGTCTTCCTCCGGGTCAAACTCTGGATTCTCGCTGGGTGGGAGAGTCCGGAAGATATTTACGGAGATCTGGAAAACGCAGAGGAAAAGAGAGTAATGGGAACAGGAGGTTGGAATGTGAGGAAGAAAATAGGAATGGATGAGAGGTAAGGAGCGATGTGGATACAGGGAGATGAGGGGTCAGAGAGAAAAGTGAAGTGACAGAGGTAGAAAGATAGGTTAGAAATGACATACAGTACATTCTTATTAATGTTGTGGACTTTATTCTAGGATTGAAAGAAAACTGGGGGATATAATAGTTGTATTTTCCAAAAACAAGGCCTATGAGTCTCTCAGTATAGTCATTTACATTTACATTTACAAAAACATCCTTTGACTCATTTCTAGTCTTCATCCTGCTGATATTTCAACACGATGATCACAGATTTTTGTCACTACACCAAATTAGTTCTCTGGTTATAAAATAATGTCAATCATTCATATTTAATTTAGAGATAGAGTCCTGAACAGTTCCTCCTTAACAGTTGTGTTAGATGAGTGGCAGTATTGCACTATATCAGATGACAACTGTCCGATAAACAGAGAAAGCTGTTGTATCGGGGTAAAAATCATGGTCTTCACTAGCTGTTTGAGTTTCAGAGCTGTCGTAGATAACTTCAGCTACTGTCGGACATATTTGATGCTGTTCGCAGACTCTGTTTGAGAACTAATAAGCCATGCAACCTGACTTCTTGCTATGTCATGATTTATTCAACAAATGGATTTCCACTGGCCATTTAGTGCATAAACTATATTGCAAAAAGCAAATGTGGTAAATCCCAACGCCCAAATTCTGCATTATTTTCTATTCTTTCCTTCTCTCCACACTGTTTGCATTAGTAAAGCTTCTCACTGCAGAGGGATATGCGCTCATTTCACATGACTGTGTAAACCTCACTTGGATTTAAAATGCCTTTATGCTACAGTAGGAAGAATATGGTCCTCTGGACATTTGAATCCTATACGGTCAACACACATTACAACTTCTCTCATCTTCTCTCCTGACCTCATCCATCATGACATCCCTCTCTCCTCACTCTTTTCTTCTCTGCTCTAGTCCTCCTCTCACCCTCCTTATATTCATTATTTTATTATTAATATCAATCTTACATATCTTACATTTCTCATCCAGATATAAGTTCCATTGTTGCTGTATATCAGATACTTTATTGAGCTGTTTGCAGAATCTTTTTGGTGATCTATTAATCTGTTTGTCAGTTGGTTGGTCCACCACTTATGTGCTACATATGTTAGCATGAACTAAGGTGGAAAACATTATACCTGCTTAACCATCAGCATGTTAGCACTGTCATTGTCATTTACTGGGTCTCTGTAAATCATTTTATAAAGGACTACAGTGTAGACATGCTCTACACTGTAGTCCTTTATAAAATGCTCTTTTGAATATGAATTGTGAGCATGTTAGCATGCGGATGTTAGCATTGTAGCTGCGCACAGTTGTGCGTAAGTATAGCCTCATGGAGCTGCTAGCATGACTGTAGACTCGTAGTCTTGTTCTATACAAAATATCATGCAAAATAATATTACAAGCATATTTACATCATATAGAGAGAAAACTGGACTAAAATTCTACAACTTTTCCATGTTTAGGAAACATAAGTTTACTCTCTTGGCTTCCCTATATTACACTTACTACATTACACTTACTACATTACACTTAACTACATTAAAGCACTTGGGCTCTATGCACTTCTGTTATAGAACTTTAGCTTTCTTTAACATTTCCATTCCTTTCATCCCGTCCTCTGTCCTATCAGCATTTTAACATCCTCTGGGTATAGTGACTCCATAACATAAGCTATATCCTCTGCTCGCTTTACCCTCTTTCCCCAATCCCCTTTTCCCTTTCCTCCTCTGTATATCCTCTGGGACCTCTGGTGCTCTGCGATGGTGTCCACACATTTCCCACCACATTCTTCTTTATCTTTCTTGTCCCTCCCTCGCCATATGTGCAGCCTATTGCTGTTTAGCACCCTTTGCAAACGCTCCATCCCTCCTTTCCTTTCCTCCCCTTATCTATCGCTGTCTCTCTTCCTTTCTCCTCTCCTTGTTTATGGCCTCTGGTGACTCCACCGGAGCCCCACAGCTGGATATCACACTGTCTACCTTCTGTCTTCCCCTCCTCCATCCATCCTTTCATCCTTATTTCTTCGTCTATTTCCGTGCTGTGTGTAGAGTTTCCAGGTGTTGATGAGGGTTAATTGATGTTCAATTATTTGGCATTTACTCATCTGTCTTTCCTTTTCTATCATTTCATCTATCCATCCACTAGTCAATCATTTCATCCCCTAGCCTCCCTTCTCCTCATCCCCTCCTACCATCTTTATAGCCTCTGGGTACAGAGGCTCTATAAGGACTCCTCTGCTAGTGGCCACGCTCTCCACCAGCTCGTTCAGTGCCGCACGTTTGATCTCCTTCCCCTTCAGGTCAGCCACGCAGTCGAGGAAATCAAACAGCACGCAGCACTGCTGCAGCTTCTTACAGAACAGGTCGTGTAACTCTGCCACCGGGGCGTCTGGATGATTGAGAGGCAGGAAAAAAGAAAGAGAGAGAGAAGATAAATGTTAGACACGAAGGTGAAAGGATAAAAAAAAAGCGATGCAGCTCAGCCAAATCCGATGGCGTTCCTGAAAAGCGCTTTGTGTTTGGTAGTGAATCGTTTGACAAAGTGGGAGTGTGAGAGTATACAGAGATGTATTCTACATGCTAGATCTTCTCTCAAAGGTAATGAGGGAAAGAGAGCAGACTATTACTCTACAAACACATTTGTACACACCCACACATACAGGGGCTTGCATCCATACACACACATCCACACACACCTTCCTCCAGAGGGCTGCGTTGCATCTCAGTCCTATTACCTGTCAGATTCGTTCTCAAGACATGTTCGTCACAATGAAACAACCTGCTGCCGGACGTCAGATTAAAACCTTGTATCTCCAAAAACACCACTTTTCCCAGATGTAGAGAAATGGCTGATACCCATGGATTACAGTAGATATACAGTGTGTTTTAATTCGATTCCCCGGGCCTAAGAGGGGTTGTGAAACTTAACGGCTCAGCCTGTAAAGCATTACGCAAAAAGTTGAAAAAAAATGAACCAAACACCACAGTGCAGAGTTACAAGATTTGAGAGCAGGCAAATGGGAATGTTTGGTTCTTTTTCTGAGTAACCAGATGATTGGTGACTCAATAACTAAATATAGCAGTGATCCCGATTTTATATCCCTATATTAGTAAGACGTATGTGAGGTTTGGTATGAAAAATAACATGCTGGTCTATATTGAGATAAATGATAAAATACACATCAAATATGAAAACTAATCCTCTTTGCAAAGGTTTTTGCAGGATTTCCAGCAGAATGTTAGCACATGTTCCGGACTACATTTGTATATTTATGTTATGTATTTATGTCATCAATTAAGAAAAGGTTAGCTGGAAAGACATCACAGATCACCCTATTTGTAATGCTGTGAATCCTTTTCGTATGGTACACAACCTTGCCATGTATGACAGATCCTACGGGATCTTTGTGCATGTGTACCAATTTACCAAATTCCATAGTTATCCAATACTACAAAATTTAATGGCAATTCATCTGACAGTTGTTGAGATATTTCAGTATGGAACAAAATTAAGCTTAGGGCGCCATTCCATGCTAAAAAGAAAAACCAAACAAGACACCGACTTCTGTGCCATCCCAAAAAGAATAGCAGTCTCAGTGTGGCCCTTTAGGTGTGCTGAATATACTGGTTACTCTGTTGTCCTGAACAAATAATCTCCCTCTGTCAGAAGAAAATAATTCAGCTTTACCAATGACTGGGAAGGAGTCTAGACTAACTGTGCAGTTGGAAAGAGGATGATCCAAGGCTTACACACACACACATACACAGCAGGAGCAGATTAGATTTAACCCTTCTTAACCCCCAGGTGGGAAACACAGGAGAGTTAAGGGGGGCTGGCTGGAGCTCTTCCAGCCCCAGACCCCCTCACCTCTTGTGGGCACACCAGGACCATCTGCTCCCTTTGGCACAGAGCTGCACAACAATGGACGAGGAGTGCCCTTTGCTTGATGTGTCAAGGCACAAGACACACTCTTTTGAGACCATTGAAAGTGGCCTTTTATTTGATCCATTATGCTTTCCATACTAAACATGGTGACGTAACAGAGTATCTGGATTCACCAGAGGAATTATCTAGAGTCTAGAACTACCAAGTTGCTCTTTGGTGAAATCCAAGGAAAGCGATACAGTAGCACCTACTAAACTTTAGTTAAAATTTAGTCTACATGAAAATTGTCTTCTATTCTATTCACTCAATGTTATGACATGACCTATATACTAACTTTTACTGCAACACTTCTTTTTGCCTATTTTACATCTAGTGTTGACATCTATGAGGCTCTCCATTGAGCTGTACTGAGCAGTCAACTTGTTCTTGAATTGCAGCCATTTCTCAGTGACTGGACAATCGTGTGACAGCCGAGTTCACACAATTTTCGGACTATTTGTGACGAAAAACAAGTGTGAAAAGTTTAAGAGGATGAACTATTTCTTCTGACTTTGCTTTGAGAACTAATGTGAGTCTAAATCTGCAAGGCGACCACAAAATACCTCTGTATTTGATGTTCTTGGCTGTTTTGAGATAGCTGCAGCTTCTGTCTTTTCATCCCCCTGACCCTTCATCGCTCTTCTACCTCCCTCCCTCTTCTAGAGTACTATCCTTTCCTTTCTTTCTCAACCACTCTATTTTCCTCCCCCTTCCTAATCTGCCCCTTCATATCCTTTCTATCTCTTCGTCCTTCTCTCCTGGTTTCTCATAGCCTCCATTCCGCCTTTCTCTTTCTCCTCTCCCTCCTTCCTGTCTCCCTCTGTAGACAGACTGTGAAGGTGAAATCTAATCCATTTTTAATGGAGAGTAATTGTATGAAGATGTGCCGTGCTGGGACTGAGAAAAAAGAACAGACCGAGGTGAAAAGACGATAAGAAAGAAAAAGCATATATGTGTGTTTGGGAGACAGAGAGTGAGAAAGGAGGTGAGAAAAAGAGAGGGACGATGAAGGGAATGAAGAGACTCGGTGGGTCATGTGAGAGCAAGTGTGGGAGAGAGCGAAAGAAAAGAAATTCAAAGAGCTAAAAAATAGAGGAAAAGTGTAGGGAGATTACAGGCACAGACAGAGCCACAGAACATATTTTAAAGCAAAGAAAATGGGCTAAAGCTGTTTGTTGGTTGTCAGTGTCGCTAAACTGGCCACCAATAATACCTGGCTGTCTATTGTTATGTCTCGTACAGGTAGAAAATGCTTTCCTGTTCATCCAGAAAAGGAAATTGCATAAACATAAATTCGGTCCACAGTGGAGAAACCAAACTGAGGTTACACTGCGTGAGGAGAATTGTAGTTTCCTCCTGGCTGTGCTATTATTAGGTCAACAAAAGTCGCCCCAGACCCATTCATTCAAAGCAGCTTTTAATATGATGTCAGTGCAGTGATTATAATATTAACTAAGATCTTAATCACAGCAAGTGAGTCCTTTATGACTGAGCTATTTCCATGTTTCCACAATCTAAATTGGTATTTTGAATAAGTAACAAGCCTGGCTGTGACTTTAAAATTCAAAATACAACATTAAATCCATGCAGTTAAATTTTACTTCTTTATTAACTCAGCGAGTCCCTAAAGATTAATTCGATTAGATTGTCAACATGGCACACCATTACCAACGTTACATTACCACAATTATAAAAGCAAGATAAAACAAAGAGTCCGAACAGCAGGCTTACAACAACCAATCCAGCTTAAGACAAGCAATTACACATTATAAACAGTAAACTATCAGTGCTAATACCAAGTGCTTCAAGCTTTGTGTTACAATTCTATTGAATTATCTGTTCTTCTTCATACGAGTGTGCAGATAAAGGATCTTTTCAAAATCCACATGCACAGAGAATGATTCATTTACCACTTTCATTCTGAAGAATTTACAGCTCTACTTTTTTCCAATTTAAAGCTATGCTGATCAATATTTATATTGCAGCTCTGTGTCTGCTGGATGTGTAAATACATTCAGATTTAGAACAATGTCATGTTTACAGCTTGTAGCACTAACCTGCAAGAGACCAAAATAAAATTATTGCTGCTTTAAAATTACTGTAACCTCTGACTTTTATGCGTAACATAGAGCTTAGTATACTCAACTCCAAAGCCATTGATAGAGGATTAAATGGCAGTGAAAAATAGTAATGTTAAGTGTTGTGTAGGTGTTGTTTCTGTTGAGGCGTACAAACCAAAGTCTGTTTCACTCATTGAAGGCCAAGCATAAGTCCATCAGCTCATGTTTATTTGTAAAGCCAAATATAATGTACATGCAACAACAGTTCCTATCGCAGCCCTGTACCTGTCTAAATTATTATTTGGTGCATGAGGAAAAATACCTCTGGAGAGGCAACTCAATGAGTCCTGTCTAGAAGAAACTGTGGGAGGTTTAAGAAAAACATTCAATTTAGACATAATGTGACAAGACCAAAAAATAAATCTGACAAAGGACTATAAAAAAGTCCAAAAACACTTCATACTGTTCCAAGACCACAGGGAGACAGATAAAGACAGGTCACATCTTATATGCAGTCTAGAAAGCTTCTGGATCACTTTACATTTCACTACATTTAGCAGATACTGAGTAATGTATGATATTATTGGCCATTAAATAAGGACATATTAAACTGGCAGGCATTAAGAGGAATCTAATGAGAAATTCCCCTACTAGCATAAACTGAATCAGGTTAGCAGACTACTCGTCTTTTAAAATCTTGAATAAAATGATTCAATATGAATCACTTTATAATTAAAACTTAAAGGAGATTAAATGCAATGCCTCAGTAGAATCCTTAAGCAGGAAGTCATCTGTTTAGTAGCTGCTGGACTAAAAAGCTTGTATCAAAAACACATACATTATAACAAAACAGCAGCTCAGCGACACAGCGTGCATTTAAATTGAAAATCCTGTGAGCTGGTTATCTTCTTTCTACGTTTCAGCTCCAAATTGTGTATAAGAAAAATCCAGCCCAGTCCAGTCACTTTTTCAGCACAACCCAAAAGCTCCCAAAAGAAAGCTAAAGGCACATAATTCAGGATACAAGATGAACAATACTAGATGAATTATACTGTGTACACAGACCCACTCAGCCCCAAGCCTATTTGTTCTATAAATCTGGTCACAAATATAAAGTTGTTGTTGTTTTTAAGTGTAAAGCTGCCTCAGATGATAAGAGGTGTGCTATTTGTGGGGTAGTGCTTGCACAGGCAAAGTGCAGGACAGGTACAGTTCAGAAAAAATACATATTCTTCTATGTATGTATATATATATTTACATTTACTGTTGCTAAGCTAATATTTTCTGCTCCAACTATTAAGATAGCAATGCTTGAGATATGGCACTGTCACTGTGTCTGCCTGGCATAGCTAACATACATAAACAGCCAAGTGAACTGTAGCATTGGATTTAGCTTAAGCTGGC